ATAGACTTGGGTATTTCCTGCAACTTTTCGAACATTATGTACATTATGTATGCATGTATCGCGTCTTAAAACCATTATCTTTATCAACCCGTTATCCAATCTTTTTTTTTTTTTTTTTTTTTATGCTGCTAGAATAATAATCAAATAGTATTCAAATGCAAGAAACTGAAGCCTCTTAGAAAGTTGATGGAGACCTTTTGTCAGAAAGAGGGAAAATCCATGGAATATTTGAGGTTTCTGTACGATGGAAACCGTATACAACCAGAGGATACTCCCGCATCAGTGAGTAATTAATTGTTTTTTATATCCATTGACTCTTTTTCTTTTCATTTTACATACGTCTCCTCTCACTACGTAGTTAGAAATGGAGGACGACGATCGAATCGATGTTATGTATGAACAGACAGGTACGTAATTGTCAGTTTGACGAATTGTACTCTACCCTCAATGAATAAAGAAGTCACCACACTCATTATAAGATTACTTAATAAATCCAGGTGGAAATATCGTGTCACCTTCGTGTTAGCTTCGCTAACAGTCATGTCTGCCTGTCGCGTTTTCATACATTTTCATTCTCTCCTAATTCCAATGAGATGGCAATATACATTACGTTGTCAAGACACTCACAAAATAATATTCGAGATATCACACGAATCACAATTTGCTAAATCTTTTGGTTTATTATTGAAATTAGGAATACAATGGTAACCACCGAAAACTGCGAAAGAAGAGAAGCCGAAACCTATCTCGCGTAACAAAGGTTGATTTATTAACGATCTAATGACGTAATGCTGGTGCTATTTCACAAGTGCCAACTGTAATAAGATGAATCACCAAAAATACAGTTTTTTCTTTTGCTATATTATCTACCCGATTTTATTATTATTTGACGGATGCTACATTATTTGTTAAAATTTTAAATGAAGGTTTAAGATTATACCGCAATATCATTTAATCATGAATTCCAACAAACGTCGATAAATAAGGGGAGCGTTAGAGGTTTGGTAATATTAAGAATAATATTTCTATTCTTTTTAAAGTAATAAAAGGTGATCCGGATTTAGATTAAATTCTTTATTCAATATAAAAAATCATTAGGAGCACCTCGTATTTTAATAATGTTTCCAAACCCTATGACCACGTCTCATGAACGTTTAATAGTTCCTTGCCTCCGCTCTTCAACATTCTTCCCCTAATCTGTCTGATACTTTTTGTATAAGAACTCCCAATACGTGCACACCCTTTT